TTTGAAAATATTTTTTCCATCTTTTTTGAATTTATGGCATATTTATTTGATTTATTTCTTTGTTTATGCATAAAATATATATATACTAATATTTAGAATAAATATAAAAATAGTGTAAATACAATTTTTATTTTTGTTTACATTCTGATAATATTCCACATAAAAAATACCTTTTTTATTATTATTTATTTTATTAAATATTTTTGCACATAATGCATATTTAAGAAATTAATATATCTATATATATATGTTTATTAATATATTTAAGCTAAAAAATAAAAATACTTGAATCTTTTCATTTTTATTAATATTTGATACAAAAATACTCTTTTTCATAATATACTTCATTATTTTTATTTTTATAAATAATAAATAAATATTTGTATTAAATTAGATAATAATACATGTTTTCTTTAAAATTAGGGTTTTTGCCCTAAATTCAAAATACTCCAAAAAATAATATATTTTTATTTTCTTTTCTCCTTTACATTAATATTTTTTTCATATATATACAAAACATTTCCTTTGCATCTTGCATTCTTATTTAATTTTTTTTTTTTTACATTGATTAATTTGCAAATATTCAAAATGATGTAATAATGTAGATTTAAATTCTTGTCAATATCCCCATTTGAACATTTGTACCCCCTTTCCCATATTTGGTTTTGTAATAGTTTAGTAAATTTAATTTTCGCATTTTATTGCTTTCTAATGATAACATGTTAGAATTAGGGTTTGTATGCGAAAAAACGATAAAAAATAGTTATGACCTAATCTCAAGATAAATAAGCATGAAAATGGAAACACAAATCACACTTGCACCCCTAGGGTATTCCACTTTGTTGCCTTTCAAAATTGGGCCATATTGTATGTTGAACTTCTTTGGGCAAAGCAAATAATTTGAATGATCATAGTCCCTCGATAAAACTTTTCAAAACAAACAAAAACAAATGATCAAGTCCCTTAAAGAAAATTGCCCAAAGACATTTAACGCCGTTGCAATTATGGTCTAAACGATGACCCGCGCCTGTCCCTTTCACATCCTAACACAAGATTGTCCACCAAATACAATGGTGGAACAAACTTGTTAAAAGGGTTAAAACATAGCAATAATCTTTTGAGAAATTTAGGAGTAGATAACCTCTTAGTTACTTGAATCAAACTTGCAAAACAAAACACTTGCCTAATTTCAAAACCACACAACACTACACTTTCAAAACTACTTTCAAAAACAAATGAAAACCTTTTCAAAAGACACACATCTTTGTATACATCCCCACATGGATCATTACAAAGGTTGCCACCACATTGGCCTCTTTTCAAAATATTTTCAAACCCACACACTCAAGCACCATCTAAAACAATTAAAAACAAAAGGCAAGTGATCTAAGCAAGTAACTAAGAGCCCATGGATAACCATGGATAGAAAGGGTGCTAATATCTTCCCTTTCTATAATCTACTCCCCGAACCCAAGAAAACATCTCAAAAGGTTTTTGCTGTGCTTTTTAACCTTTCCTTAGGATAAAATAAAAAGTCGGTGGCGACTCTTGCTCAACCGCACAAGTGCGAATGCGAACGCAAAACACTAGTCAGTTCTCCCACCGTATCACAAGGTAAAATCTAAAACCCTAAAAATTCTAAGTGATAAAAGAAATATTTTTGTTGTTTTATTTTTTTAGGAAAAATAATAATAAAATTAATGATAACCTAATTCTAATTATTTAATTAATTAAAAAAGGTGATTAAAAGATTAATTAATTTAATTAATAAAAACTTAAATCTACTATTTTTTTGTGATTTTCTGATTTTTCTGATTTTTTATGTTCATAAAAAGAAGAAATTTTTTTAAAGAAAATTAAATAAATAAAAATACAATAAAAGAAAAAGAAAAAGGGCTAGGCACTGCAAAAAGTAGTTAGAGGGTGTGAAATAGCGAAAAATTCCCAGGCCCATTAGAAATAGGGCCCAGGCGCCTGGAGATCCAGTGAGGGACGCTTCTTGGGGTTCATCATGGGGACGCGCCTTTGAGGCTTTGGATCTAGCCTGATGAAATCTGGTGGTCAGGAACTGAAGGTGCATGATGCGCATATTTTGTTCCACTCATACCTGATCTCTAGATTGATATAAACTCAAACAAATATTAGCATGCCATGAAATATGATTAAAATCAGAGATTCGAAATTTTAAACTTTACCAAACTGGTGTTATCAAATGTGGGCGTTATAGGCTTATGATGGACTGATCTCGGGCCTTGTAAAAACTCCTGGGGACTTTAAGAGGATGGCTTGAGGCTTGGTTTCAATCAAGAGAGGCTGGAAATTTGAGATATGACTTGCACCAATTTTTTTGATTTTTTTGGAGAGTTTTTGGAGAGCTTTTGGAAAGCTTTTAGAGAGCTTTTGCATGTAAAAATTTTGTGGTCCCTTGATCTACTTTGGCTTGTCTTTATATAGAGAGAGTGAGTGACTTACTAACATGGCAAGAAATCAAGCTTTGATGGCCTTAACAAAACAAGATAAAACACATTCAAAACTTGCAAAAAAATGAGATATCTCTTGCCATTTTCGAATTTGCATGAACCTAGACAGCTTGTATGTATCCTGCACGAATTAATGGGTTCCAAAGTGGATCAAATCCAGCCCATATGCATAGTCCATGATTTTCTTGTGATTTTATTCAATTTATTTGATTTTAAATTAAATAAAATCAAGATAAATATGAATAAAAATCAAATCCATGTATAAATGAACTTAGAGGTCCTCTAAGATGTTATGGACATGTTTGAAGTCCAAAAAGTAGGCTCGTTGGTTCAAAATTTCAATTTTTTTCAATTTACACTTCATGAATTTCTTCAAAATTTCCCAACTTGTGCAACTCATAACTTGCTCAATTTTCAACTTTTGAAGATGATATTAGAATTTTTGGAAATCTCAAGATGTCCTCTACAATCTATATGATGATCATTTTTGCTTTTGAAGACATTATCTTGATGTAAGTTGCCTTGACAAAAAGTGTCTTTTGTTGACTTTTGAAAATGACCTATAATGTATGAGTTAATATCTTCTGAATGAAGCATTTTTTGGACTTGATAATAATATAAAAGTTGTATAAAATTGAATTTTCTTCAACATAAGCTTCGGTTGGGGAAAAGTTGATGAAGCATGTGAAAGTTATGTCTGGTCAAAGTTCAGTTGACTTCTCCTAAGGAAATCCTAATTTGACAATTCTTGACTTTTGATGATCTGAAGACTTTTCTTGGGGAATCATGATCAACCCTTGATCAAATGATGAATATAACTTCAAAATATTGATTTAGACCAAATTTTTTGAAGTTTGATTGTATGTTGGCCATAGTTGACTTTTTGACCAATATAGTTGATTTTCAAACATTTGAGGTATTAACTGAGCAAACTTGTGATGCAGGGCTTGAAACCTGACATGAACCTTGTTGAGGACCTATGAAGAACCATGAAAACTACTTGGGACCTTTGCAAACCACATTTCCTTGATAAACTCTAAACCTTAGTTATAGGCCTTTGGTTTAGGAGGTGCATCTTGACTAGTCAACCCTTGAGTGTCTTGACTACTTGAAGAGCCTTGAAAGAATGCTTTGAGAAAAATGAGAGAATAAATTTTGGTGTACAACAGTGTGCAACATTCGACATGATATATGTTTCACAGTCGGATTAGTGAGCAAATAGATGAGTGAATCAAGGGTGACATACATGAATGATGCAAGAAGAATCTTGAGATACTTAAAAAGATTGATGAACTGCTGAATTCTATTTCGATGAGATTCTGAAATCAAAGAAGTTGTGGTTACTTGTTATTTAGAGGTTGATTGGTGTGGAGATAAAGAAGATCGAAGAAGCACAACTGGTTATTTCTTTCAAGTCTTTGGTGCCCCAATCTCACGATGCTCGAAAAAGCAACATGTGGTGACATTGTCATCGTAAGAGGCTGAATATATAGTAGGATACTATGTTGTATGTCAAGCAATTTTGATCAGATCTGTGTTGGAAGAGATCGAGGTCTAAGTGAAGAAATCTCTGGTGCTGCAGATTGACAAGAAGTCAACCATTAATCTTGCAAAGAATCTGGTTTTGCATGGAAGAAGTAAGCATATCGAAGTTAGATTTCTTCTTAAGGGCGAAGTTAAATCGAAGTGAACTTGAAGTAAAACATTGCTCAAGTGAAGTACAGTTAGCCGACATATTCACCAAAAGATTGAAGATCGAGATATTCCTATATTTGAGAAAGAAATTATGAATAGTTCAGATCGACTATGATTAGCATATGTTCGTCAACTTGGATTATAAGGGATATGTTGAAATATTAGATTTAATATTAAATATAATCCAAGTTGTGTAAGTTCAAGTCCATTAAAATTATATATAAATAGTCATAGTTTATAATTCAATTTGTACAATACAATATCATTATTTCCTTATTTTCTGTCGATTCTCTCTCCACTAAAAATATCTCACGCACTATCAAGACTCGGAAGAAGAAAAATATGGGGTACCACTCTTCCAAGACCAGCATGCAACAATGAATTTTAGTTTAAGGTGTTAACAGTTGGGGATATTAATTTCTTTTGACAAGTAATCTTCTAATTTATTGCTGCGAATAGTAATTTTGATGCTTTCTATTAACTAAATTTATAAAATTCAATGAGCCTAAAAATATTGTATTATCTCCTATTATAAGTCTTTATGCATTATTGCTTGTCACAATCTTCAAATTGGGGAATGGCAACCCAACTAATTGGCGCCGAAAGAGTAGTGGCAAAGACTAGACTATACAAAGATTATTTCAAAGTCAACAAGTCAACTCCAATGTTTCCAGCCAAGAAAAAACATATTGGAGTATCATTTGGTGTTAGACTTTTAAGTCCATAATAATCTCTTCTTCCATAATTACCACTATCAAGTGTATATTTAAACAAATTTTCCTTTCTTGTTCTTCATATCATGTTCTAACACTATTTCATTCAATAATGTCTACACCAGCAGAGTACTACAGGTCTCTACCACCTGTGAGCAAGGCCTATGGAGTAGCATGTTTGATGACAACAGCTGCATATTATCTCAATCTTTATGATCCATGGAGCATAGCGTTGTTTTATGGATTAGTGTTTAAACGCTTTCAGGTTTGTAATCTAAAAATACTTATCATCCTTAATATAACCGTGTCAAGTTTTTGGAGTCCTGTATAGATTAATCAGTGACATTATTTTTAGAGGCCATATTTAATTACGTTTTAACATTAATAAATTTTGGACCCTTCGCGGTAGGTAGTCTGCCTAATACGTTCTCATAGACGGCTCTGATTCTAAACCATTGATCTATATCATTTTTAATTTTTCTTTGTTTGTTTTGTTTATATTTGTTACAGGTATGGAGGGTTATCACAAATTTCTTCTTTCTTGGACCATTTTCATTTCCATTTGCAGCTCGTCTCATAATGATGTAAATAATTCTCTGACTAATACATCTCATTCGATAAATGTATTTAAATTTGCGACTATATAGTCTATATTACTGATACGGAATGACTTAGGGTTATATTATTACAAAATTTATATAAATACTAAGTACGGTATTGTATAAATTCCGATAATAATGATTTGAGTATTGAATTTTATAGAGCAAAATATGGTGTTTCATTGGAAAGAGGGCCATTTGATAAGAGAACTGCAGATTATGTTTGGATGTTGATATTTGGTGCACTCTCACTTCTGGTATATGTTTCAACTAATTCAGTTTTCATTTTGTTGATTTTTTTCCTATTATTTAGTTTTATTATGTTGTTAGGTGATGAGTGCTGTGCCATATTTATGGTCTCCATTCATGGGAACTTCTTTAGTTTTCATGATTGTGTATGTTTGGAGCCGAGAATTTCCAAATGCAAGAATCAACGTATATGGTTTGGTATCATTGAAGGTATTATCATTTTTTATGTAGCACCGACATCTCTTTGTGTATGTGTCAGACATCAATACCACCACTTGACTATTTTTATTTTTTCATTTTTTTAAATCATTACCTGTATCGTCGTGTCAAGTGTCCGTACTTCATAGATCAATTTCTTAATCACTCTTGTTATGTTTTAAGACTCTATGCTTAAGTTGATTTTGTTATATGTAGGGTTTTTACCTTCCATGGGCTATGCTAGCTCTTGATTTGATATTTGGAAATCCTTTAAAGCCAGATATTCTAGGGATGGTTGCAGGACACTTATATTACTTCTTAACAGTTCTTCATCCTCTTGCTGGTGGAAAGTTCAAGTTCAGCACTCCTCTCTTAGTGTATCCTTTTCTTTTACGTATCAACTTGCAATAATCACAAATGACTATATCAAATTTCGTACATGACATTTTTTTTAAACGAAGGTATTAACTACTAAAAATTCATATATACAAACGGGAATACTAGAATTCGAATCCTATTAATTGCGTCTAATCTAACAATAACGGACTTGTACATGACATATACTCTAGCAAAACAATTCATAATAATAAGTAGATGGCATATACTGTAGCAAAAAAATTAATAGATAGAATTTTATAATCCTTAAGTTATGTAAACTAGTCACAAAATAGTGGCATATTGGGGAGAAGGTACTCAAATGAATGCACCAGTGGAATCTAATCCTTCAGCTGGAGTTGTGTTTAGAGGAAGAAGCAATCGTCTTGGTGGAACTCAAACAACAAGGCCAAGAAGTACTTCTCATGAAACAAATGGCAATGCTGCTTCTGTTTCTTCTTCCCCTCAGCAGCAGAATCAGGGTGACGGAGTTGCTTTTCGCGGAAAAAGTTATCGTATAAATGGATGATTATATATATGTTAATTTGATGTTTTAAAAGGTACAATTAAATTGGGTTAAATTAGTTAGTATAAGTTAGTTTATGTACTCAAAAGCATATATAACATATGTTATAGAGAAGCATTTCATGAATAAAATGTGCAATAGAGGATATTCTAAAAGTGATATGGTAACCTACACAACCACCACAACCCCACCCAAACAATCTCTCCTTCTTAATGTTGCTCAAGTCACCACTCTTAATCTTATGCCGTCCAAAACATGGGCACATTGATGGAACTATTATATTAGGTAATCAAAACTAGATTGGACATCCAACCGATATATTAAAAGATTCAAAGATTTAAGACAATTAAACCGTTAATAAAGAAATAATAAACCAGAATCATAATAAATAAGAATAATTATAGTTTTGAGTTTCCAAATATATAAAGATAATAATAAACAAGAATAATTATACTTTTTAAATGATACAAAAAATTTACTATAATTTCATAATAATTAACATTTCATAGCTTATTTAATTTATAGTATTTTATATTTTAAATAATTATTTTAAAATATTTAAATATTATCCATAAACAAAATAACATGAAAGTGTTTAAAATGTCTCGAACCTCCTTAATAATAATAATAATAATAATAATAATAATAATAATAATAATAATAATAATAATAATAATAATAATAATAATCTATTGTATATTTTGTGAAGGTGCGAGAAACACAAAAAATGAGATTTTATAATTTTTTTGCAACACAAAATATAAAGATAGCAACTGAATAAAAATATATGAACACAATTATTGTTATTCGGATTCATTGTTAACTAAGTTACTCAAGTCTATTATGCAAGGTGATTTGTCTTATACACAAAGACTTAATCCACTATAATCAACCAGATTAAAGACAACCATAATAATTCCGATCAATACTATTGGAACCCACAATAAATCCGCTGATTCTTATTCCAAACTATTATGACCGCAACCAGAGTCTTCTTGAGTATTCAGACATTTCACTTAGTCACTCAAGAAATCTATCAACAATATTTGATTACAAAGATGTGTATATATATGCTTCTACACAAGTAAATTACACAATGTTTAACTACAACAACACAAAAGTGTTGATAGCAAGATACGAGAAACAACTTCTTACTTATTTACAAAATTATACAAAAAAAGCAATAGTTTTCAATGACTCTGAAAATAATGGTTGTCTCGAAGATGTTTTGGAGAAAAGAAATTTTCATGCATTCAATTAATCTTCGGGTCGGGTTGAGGATAGTAAATTTTGAAGACGAGGTCATACAGAGTGGATGGCGGACTCTCGGGGATCCGTTCATACTTTTCAGCATCTATTTAATACACCCAATTTGATTGGCAAGCATTCATGCATGATCTTACACTAGTCTCATCAAATCTTTGATTAGTAGCTCTCTATTAAAGAGTAGTGGCAAAGACTAGACTACACAAAAATTATTTCAAAGTCAACAAATCAACTCCAATGTTTCCAGACAAGAAAAAACATATTGGAGTATCATTTGGTGTTAGACTTTTAAGTCCATAATAATCTCTTCTTCCATAATTACCACTATCAAGTGTATATTTAAACAAATTTTCCTTTCTTGTTCTTCATATCATAACACTCATTTCATTCAATAATGTCTACACCAGCAGAGTACTACTGGTCTCTACCATCTGTGAGCAAGACCTATGGAGTAGCATGTCCATGGAGCATAGCGTTGTTTTATGGATTAGTGTTTAAACGCTTTCAGGTTTGTATAATCCAAAAATATTCATCATCCTTAACATAATTGTGTCAAGTTTTTTTAAGTTCCGTTGTTTTTTTTTTTGTAATCAAGGATTATAATAAACAGAGAATTAAGGGTTCTCCAACCTATTACATAGAGAAGTGGTCAAAATACCATCAAAAAAATCGGAAAAATTATAAATCAATTACAAACTACAACAAGAAGAATAAGAGATCCTTATTGAACTCGTAGAAGCTACAATTGGAATGTGTAATCTTGCCGCAAGAAGACCACTTCCAAGCCAAAGATTTAATTCTCCAAACCGTATTATTCACATTCCAATCCACATTCCGGAAACATAAGCCATTTCTAACCAACCATATACACCACACCGTTGCTAACTATATAACACCCAATTTACCTTCCTTCACTTTTTTTATCTCTACAAAAGAAACACCAATACATAAAATGTGAATGGCACTCCGTCAACTCCACTTCCGTTATACCCACCCAATTCGCTATACCCAACCAAATGGACTTCACCACTTCACACTTGAAAAAGAATGATCCCTACTATCCACAAGAGTGCCACAAAAGCAACAACACATAATTTAAAGGAAAAGAAATACCTCTAACCGCCAACTGATCTTTAGTAGGGAGTCTATCAAGAATAAGCCTCCAACCAAAAATCTTAATTCTATATGGAACTTCCGAATTCCAAACTAAATCGAAAACACTGTCAAACTTATTCGGAGGCCCAAAAAGAATTTTCTTACTAGCATAACAATTGTAACAAGAAGAAACGGTAAACCCTTCTACCGGATTGATGCGCCAAAAAACCTCATTCGTTCCTTCCGATAGATTTCCATACATACCTAGCCTCTCCTTCAAACTAACCACCTTATCCATCAAAGATGGAATGACCTCCCTTCCAACAATACCCAAATTCCTCCAATTCCACCCACCATCTATCCAACCTCTCATACCCGCCACCGCCACTTCCTTCAACGAAGAAACCACAAAGATCTCTGGATAAACCTCTTTTAAAGGAAAGGCATCTAATCACCTCGCTTCCCAAAAAGTCATTTTGAAACCATTCATAATGACAAACTTACAATTGGAGAAGATAGGCTCCTCAAGAGCAAATTTGTTCATCTTAAGAATATCCTTCCACCAAGAACATGAAGAAGAGGAAGTAGAAGGAACACCCTCGCACAACGCCTTTACCGACACGTCCTCATAACAAGCTTTCAACACCTTGAGCCATAAGGCATTTTGACCTTGCAAAATTCTCCACCGCCATTTATTAAGAAGGGCCAAATTGAAGTCTGCAAAATTTTTAATGCCTAAACCACTCTTCTCCAATGGTAAAGTAACCTTTCTCCAACTAACCCAATGGATCTTCCTCTTTTCCTCCACACCCCCCAAATAAAATTACTTTGGATTCTAATAAAGTCTTTCACCACCTTCACCGGCATCTTGTAAAAGGACAAGGTAAAGATAGAGAGAGAGAGCATAAAATGGATTTTAGAAGAGTAATTCTCCCACCGAAATTAAGAAATCGATTCTTCCATCCTCCAAGACACTTTTTCATCTTACATAATAAAGGATTCCATGTAGATGCCTTCTTAGGATTGGACCCAATAAGGATACCAAGAAAGACAAAGTTACTCCCTTCAACCTTACAAGATAACACATAAGAGGAGGTTTCTAAAAAATTGTGAATAGAATTAATTCCAATCAACTTGCTTTTTTGATAATTAATCCAAGCCCCGAGACCAATTCAAAAGCCCGCAACACCGTTTTGATAGCCCTCACATGCTTCCACGATCCCTCCCCCACCAATAAAGTATCATCCGCAAATTGGAGAATATCAACCAAACAATTTTCATTGATACGAAAAGACTCATACTCCCCTATCTCTATAGATTTTCTTACCAATCCCGTTAAACCTTCCACCATCAAGACAAAAAGAAAAGGAGAGAGCGGGTCCCCTTGTCTCAAACCCTCTCTACACTAAACTCTTTAGTGGGACTACCATTAACAAGCACTGAAATTTTGCTTTGAAATACCAAAAGCTCCATCCACCTCCTCCACTTTGCCCCAAACCCCATCCTTCTCAAAACAAAACGAAGGTAATTCCAACTAACTTTATCGTAGGCTTTCTCGAAATCTGTCGTACCCCAAATTTGCCCTACCTCGATGATTTTAATTATAATTTTAAAATAGAAGAAATATTTAGAGATGGTACAACAGTATCTGATGGCCCATTTTTACTCAAGACGATCAGGGGGTGTACTTTAAATTCAGGAGAGTGGGGCTTTCTAAATCAGAAAGACTCGTGTATCCGTGAATCCATTCGCGAGGCATGTTGGCCATTGGCCCATGCAATTCTGAAATAGAAAATCATTTCAAATTCAATAATTTCTAATTATTAGGTCTATTAGGATTTGTTGCTGTTAGTAAAAACAGGAGGTTGAAATTGCAATATACAAGCCCATTAGAATTGGGTCCATTTTCGTTTTGGTTGTTGTTAGCAAAAAGAGGGTGTGGTTGAGGCCCATTGTTTTTTTAGTCAGCCCGTTGTCCCTTTTGGTGATTGCTGTCTCATTTTAAAAGATAAATATTGAGAGTTTTTGTTGGATCAGTTTGCTAAAGATTGGGCCCAATCTTATACAACAAAATATTATTTTTCATTAAAGAAGTTTTTGGGCTAATTATTTAGTATAAGGCCATTTATGCCCAATTGGATTTTTAAAAAAAAGCTTTTGATGTTGTTGTACCCCAAAATTTGCCCTCCCATATTTTCTCAAGATTTGTCAAGAATGATCCTCAAATTGCTCAAAATTGCTCAAGAGGTAGACAGTCAAATCACCTCCTAAGACAGCTGAAGTTAGGGTTTTGGTTCTTTCAAGGAATTTGGAGTTTTCAATAGTTCAATCAAGTCTCATAGGCCTATATGCATCCTCAAGCACCTACAGGCCAAGTTTCAAGACTCACAGTGCCAATTTGCACAGTCAAAAGCCTCATTTGACCTACAGTCAACTGCAAGGGCAAAATGGTCATTTTACAGTCAAAAGTCGGAATTTTTGGTCAATATCTTATTTTGAGTCCACAATCATCATTTGATCAAGTCTTGATCATGATTCCACAAGGATAGCTCAAAAATCATCAAGGTGCAAAAAGTTATTATTTTTGGACAGTAGAAAAGTCAACTGTATCTTGACTAGGGCATAACTTTTTCATGGTTTGT